AACCTACCCCTCACAGGAAACTTTGTGCATTTTTAGATTTTCAAAAAAACTCATTCTGAATTATTTATAAGCCTTTTGAATTACGGTGACACTGAAAATGTCCTCATAAATCACCTTCTCGTTGTAATACCTATGTCATACCCATGTTATTATACAAATTTGTGTCCTCATAAACCACATAAACATGCACACACATACACACACACACACACACACACACACACACACACACACACACACACACACACACACACACACACACACACACACACACACACACACACACACACACACACACACACACACACACACACACACACACACACACACACACACATAAACATGCTTTTGATCTCATTCATACATTGACTTCAGGAGGATACATGCTATTTTGTGAATCCCCTGCTATGCCATACATCATGAGTTTATTTATATTTTGTGGCCACTACTATAAATGCATGTTCTGAGGGCAGCCCATGAACAAAAACGTTCAGTTAACCAGCAGGAGGCTGCAAGACCTCAAGGTGTTTTGAAAATATTCTCCAGAGGAGGTTCTGGTCACTTACATTTACATTTCGTCATTTAGCAGACGCTTTTATCCAAAGCGACTTACAAATGAGGACAATAAAAGCAGTCAAAACTAACAAAAGAGCAACAATATATAAGTGCAAATGACAAGTCTCGGTTAGCCTAACGCAGTACACGTAGCAAGGTGTATATATATATTATACACACACACATATACACACACACACAAAGAAAAACAAGTAGATAGAATAGAAAAAATAGAAACCTAGTGTTTGTTTGTTTTGTTTTTTTAATAAAAATAAAATAAAAAAAGAAGATAAAGTAGAATTAAAATAGAATAGAAAGTGTTAGAGTTAGAGGGTCAAATAAAGGTCACTTCACCCTAGGTTTCTGCTGTAATACTAGGACAGGGGTTTTAAAACTGGGGTCCATAAGAAGGTTCTGTCCAATTTATATCTCTATATATTTATTTATATCTATATATCAATATATCAATATTTATGGACAGTGCTGAATTTTGAATTGAATTAGAAATGTTTCTCTTCAGGTTTATACTTTTTAACATCCCTCTAATAGTGTATTATGATTTTCTATAGAAAAAGCAAAGGTTAACACAGAATCAATATGTTCTTGTTAATATTTGAATTATTTGCTTTTGTCTTCAGTTTAATAACAAGTAGTATTCAAACAATGCGGTCTTTATCATACTATTTCTGACAGAGTTTATATACGTTTTTATAGGAGGGGGCTTTCCCAAACCCACAGCCCCATCAGTAAGGCTCAAAATGAAGTTCCAAATGTAGGTTCGGCAGGAGCCTAATCATTCAGTCCAGTCAATCATCGTTACGAGCCTATATAAGCAGCTCTCATTGCACTGTGACCACCGTCCCATTGTCAATTCTTCCGGCATCCCTGGGGTTGAACTCCTAGGGTTCGAGCCTCCATTAAGGACAGCAAGCCAAGTTTGTTTACCATTAACCATCAGGACTGGATGGTCAGGCGAACTCGTGAAAAAAACACTAGAAGCTTATCTTGCACTTAGTCATAGCCAATACAGCATGATCTTTTCTGGGTCATTCCATGAAATTGGTGCCCTTCTGCATCCCTAAGAAATAATCAAGCATAGAATAAAAACAAAGAATGTGATTTAAAAACATAACAATACTATGTATTCTTTCATCAATATTACATTAAATCAAAGTCAATTAAATATAAATTTAAATAATTTAAATAGCTTTTATGCTGATAAGGGTAAGGTTTTTGGCCTGTCTCTCACTAATTAAGGACAGCAAGCCAAGTTTGTTTACCATTAACCATCAGGACTGGATGGGCAGGCGAACTCATGAATACCCTTTTAATCGACACTTTTCACCAGACTGAATGTTATACTGGCTATCATTTAGAGTTATCATTAATATTATATTGCCAGTGTTATTTTAGTATTATTTATATATATATTTAATATTTTGAATTGAATTTTTCAAAATGGTGAAGGACTATGTAAGAACATATATGATTGAACTAAAATTAATTTCATTTTTTTCACTTTTACTAAATTTTAATTAACAATCTGTTTGACATTTTTAATAGCTTCAGTGAACAATAACAACATTTGATATTATTTAAGTAAATAAAACAATTGCTAAAAAATGCATGAAATGCATCTATTGTGGAATTTAATGATCATAGATGCTTTCTAAAAACAGAATTTTGTTGGCATTAGTCTATTTCACACAGTGTAGAGCTTAAAAGAATGTATTTATACATTTAAAGGCTGATATACAGGTCACCCCAAAATTAAGAATGTAAAGTGTTATGCTCCACCACTAGAGGGTACAGTTGGGCTGTGTAATGACAGAGTCTTATCAGGGAGTTTTTTTTTTAAATGCTTTTAAATATCCTTTATTTTAATATTAATGAAAACTTATGTTCTTCTTAAATTTCTGACAGAGCGCCCTGCCTCACATTAATTTCACTTGCATACACACTTTGGTTCAACAAATGACCTGGTATTAGCCCCCCGAAGCACTGTGAAAATGTCACCTTTAATGACACCAGGCCCTGAGGTAAACTCAGCAGAACATGCTAGAACACATTTGAATTCCATGTTGAGTGGCTCATCTAATTACAGTTCAAGATAAATTAAACATACGTTTCTGCGCACGGCTGTCTGCCTCTCAGCAAGAGTTCAATCTTTCTTGTCCACCCAGGCACACAAGTGACTTCATACGGCTTATTCAGAACAGCACGTGCAGTGCATATTGGCTACATTTTCACTAAATTCGAAAGGCATGAGGTGCTGATCAGAGAACAGCCAACTGATCTGACCATCATGGGAGGGAAATGGCCAGATCTTTCTTTGAGGGCAATCTGTTATAATGGTTAGTTCTCAAGGCATTATTTGCAGGAAAATGATCCTGAGCTTGCAAAGCAAAAATTGAAATCGGATCTGAAATGTTACACAGAGGAGAAATGGGTCTGATCCATATTAATATAAGTGTAATCTGATCCTATTAGTTGCAGGAATATACAGTATAAGAATAGTTTCCACCACATCAATGTTCATGCCCGTGAGGAAAATTTAAGGTCCAGCTGTAGCCCACACTCTCCAGGTGCAGTTCAAATATGTTTTACCTTCATTCTGATAACGGAATAAATTAATATTAGAATCAGGCGAGAAGGTGATCTCGTGAAACAACGCTTTGTTGCACAGTTAAGACTAGATTTCAAGTGCTTCTTGCAGCCCAAATAGATATTTGTTTTAATCTGTCTATGAAAAATTGATCACAAGAGGCATTCTGAGCTTTAGCATTTGAACATAACGCAAATTAAGCAAAAGTCTAAAGCTTTTTTTCTCATTAATGAGCATTCAGAGAGTCATTTTGCTAATATGCTCATATTCATAGCCACTCTGTTAATAATTCATGACTATTTGCACTCTTGCCCTTTAAGCAGCTTGCTAAAGATCAAAATCAAAAGGAACGCTCTCCATTGTGTTTTGGAAAAGGAGATTGGGTGACTATTCCCAGAGTGGGTCACGGTGAACACGCAATATGCCAATTACTGTTTATTACTCAGCATCACATTAGCATTTACACCACATTAAGACAGATCAAAATATGGTGCAGTGATCACAAGGTCTTCGTTCAACAAAGCACTTGATCTCAGCACATCAGAATGAAATAAGCGGACTAGCAGAAATATCTTTTCCGGTTGACCTTTGCTTTAAGAGACGCATGGATTCCCTACCTCTGAATATCTGATGAATATTAAAATAGCACCTGTCAATTCTATGTGGTTGAGCTTCCTCACAGAGCTTAGATGAAACAGGATTGGCTACGTCTGCAGACTGATGAGGTTGCCTTTTCAAGTCATCCACGCAGGGAAGAGTATCCAGGGCAGGTTTACTGCAGCACTTCCGGAAATCCTCAGACATGGCATCCAGTTTGGATTCACTGCAGAGAACTTTCTGAAAGCTTGTTAGCTATTATGAAAGGAAAAGAACAATGAATCTGGCTTTTACTCACATGATATCAGAGCTCTGTCAAATTCACACTAAAATTGAATGGCAAAAATGATAATGATGAAATTGAAATGAACAGAAACAGCAGCTTTGATAAAAGCATTATGTGACTGACTGCAGGTATTAGTGGGAAGATACAGATAAAAAGGCTGTTCTAAAGGAACTCGCCCATGAAAGGATGGCCATGAAATGAAGTTTAGAGACACAGAGTAAAAGAAAAAAAATGTCAGATTAGAAACGTGAGTATTATATCTTCCAGTAGCTGCATGTTTTTCATCAGTTACCAGAGAAAAAAAGTGCATTCTTTTTGTTTGTCATATCATCAGACATCTTGTGAAGCGGAACAGGAGAAATGCACCACCAGAAGGATTACTGGTCAAAAGAATTGTCCCAAGAGACATTTGAACCTTTGTGCTGCTCATTGTGGTTGGATGAAAACACAGCATCGAGTGGCCCACCCCCTCCCCTGACCCTTCTCCTCACCTCTTGAATTATACATTCAGGTTGGGGCTGTAAACAGCATTTTTCCAGCCCAGACTGAAAACGAGCAGATATGGCTGATGCCTCTTCAAAGGACAGTCCTAGGAGATTTCCATAATATGCAGACAACCTATAAATATGACACAATTTACATATGTAAGGAAATGTAAGTCCATGGTATGTAATGAGCATGACACATTTAATTCACACATTGGGCCATATAGGAAACTAAACAGTTAACATACAGTTAGGTCCATATATATTTGGACACTGACACAATTTTCATAATTTTGGCTCTGTATGCCACCAGAACAGAAATAAACATAAAACAATCAAGATGAAATTGAAGTGCAGACTTTAAGCTTTAATTCAAGGGGTTGAACAAAAATATAACATAAAAAATGCTTAGGAATTACAACCATTTTTATACACAGTCCCCCCATTTTCAGGGACTCAAATGTAATTGGACAAATAAATATAATCATAAATAAAATGTTTTTAATATAAAAAAAAAAAAATCCTTTGCAGGCAATGACTGCCTTAAGTCTGGAACTCATGGACATCACCAGAGACTGGGTTTCATCTTTTGTGATGCTTTCCCAGGCCGTTACTGCAGCTGACTTCAGTTGTTGTTTGTTTGTGAGTCTTTCTGCCTTTAGTTTTGTCTTCAGCAAGTGAAATGCATTCTCAATCGGGTGAAATCAGGAGATTGACTTGGCCATTGCAGAATATTCCACTTTTTTACCTTCAAAAACTCCTGGGTTGTTTTTGCTGTATGTTTTGGGTCATTGTCCATTTGTACTATAAAGTGCCATCCAATCAACTTTGCTCCATTTGACTGAATCTGGGCAGACAGTATATCCCTATACACTTCAGAACTCTTCTGGCTGCTTCTGTCTTCTGTCACGTCATCACTAAACACCAGTAACCCAGTGCCACTGGAAGCCATGCATGCTCATGCCATCACACTGCTCCACCATGTTTCACAGATGATGTTGTGTGCTTTGGCTCATGAGCTGTTCCAAGCCTTCTCCATTTTTTTTCTTCCCGTCATTCTGGTACAGGTTGATCTTAATTTCAGCCATCCAAAGAATGCTTTTCCAGAAGTGGTCTGGCTTTTTTAGATGTTTTTTGGCAAAGTCTAATCTGGCCTTGTTTGCACCTTGTGGTGAACCCTCTGTATTTGCTCTCGTGAAGTCTTCTCTTGATTGTAGACTTTCAAAGTGACACACCTACCTCCTGGAGAGTGTTCTTCTCTTGGCTGGATGTTATGAAATGATTTTCTTTACCATGGAGAGGATCCTCCGATCATCCACCACTGTTGTCCTCTGTGGACGTCCAGGCCTTTTTATGTTGCTGAGCTCACCAGTGCATTCTTTTTTTCTCAGAATGTACCAAACTGTTGATTTGACCACTCCTAATGTTCTTGCTATCTCTCTAATGGATTTGTTTTGTTTTTGAAGCCGAACAACTGTCTGTTTCACTTGCATGGAGAGATCCTTTGACTGCATGATGTATGCATGAGTTCAGAGCAACAGCTTGCAAATGCAAATGGCACATTTAGAATCAACTCCAGACCTTTTACCTGCTTAATTGATGTAGAAATAACAAAAGAATAGCCCACGCCTGTCCATGAAACAGCTTTTGAGTCAATTGTCCAATTACTTATGGTCCCTTGAAAAAGGGGGGAGGTACATATTAAAGAGCTGTAATTCCTTAACCTTTCCTCCAATTTTGATGAGAAATCAAATGAAAGCTCAAATTAAAACCCTCAAATTATAACTGTACCGTGAATATGTTTTGGTCAGCAGCTAAAATAATAAAAATTGTGCCTGTTTCCAAATATATGGACCTGACTTATTTATACCTATACGTATTTGCATGTGCTTCTCCTAAACTGGATCACATGTCCTTGTGGTATTTTAAGCATTATTATGATTTAACAAAAAAGTAGAGAATAAAATACTGAAGTAGGAGGAAAGAAGCATGTGTAATATTTTTCAGAAATGTTATTTTCCTTTCCTCATGTCATTCTAAACCCATATGCTGATGCTGTTTCTTTTTTTAGAAAAGGTTTTCTATAGATTTTTTTTCTTAATATAAGTTCTATACTAAGTTCTGTAGTAAACATTACTTGAAGAAACATTTACATTTATTTTTGTCCAGCAACAAGAGTCATAACTTGATTTTGAACAAAAACAACAACAACAACAACAATAACAACAACAGTATACTATTTAGAAACACCATGAGAATGGTGGATAATAACAGAATTTTTGCTGAAACTTGTTCTGTAATATTATGATGAAGCTGTGCGAGCCATGGCATATTTACCCAAACTTGAAGGATTTCAAATTCACTTGGTTGTTGCAAACATTGGAGAGAAACCTCAGAAAATTTTTGGAGCTTTGCATTTGGAGTCTCTGTAAACAGGTTTGTAATAAGATATTAATGAACATCACATAACACATACCACATCAACCACCACCATTCATTAGCATGATTATCATATTTTTTTTGTGCATTTCCACAATCATTATTGGGGTTTTGACCTACATAAATTAAACTGATTTAAACTGAATGATATCATTATACTGTATTAATCACTCTTATCCTCATAATCACTTTATTCCATCCTATATTTCTGCTCCCTTAGACAAATTGCTAGACAAAACTAGACAAATAGCACTCTTCCCCCTACACAGCAACTAAAATAAAGACATTTAATTAGTAGCTGTTCAAAGCAGTGTGAGCAGCAAAAAGCAGATTTTAGCTCCATGAACAGCACATGTGAATCCACCATCACAGGTTTTGTTTTGACAATATTATGTTGGAATCCGGTTTGTTCCTCACAATAGACTGTGCAAGAGCCTTCAGGCAATTTGATACCAAAAGCAGACACACAATACACAATGATGATTATTAGTCCCATTACAGGCTGGCAAAGCACCCTTTAGCTTGTATATGGCGGCATATGGTACAATTTTTGATTGTCTTCAGACAATACATATAACTAGGTTAGTAAAGTTTGCAGACGAACTTTGAAGTTGGCTTGAGAAAGCCTTGTCTGAAAGTTTGAAATAGCTTTGAAAAGCTTAAAGTTTAATTTTAATTGTTGAAACTGAAGTTTGGGACAGAGTGGGAACACACATGTTTCTAGCATGAATTAACTTGCTGCTAGCATTATTTAACATGTCACTAGCATGTTGCTAGCATGATTAACATGTTGTTAGCATATTTAGCTCAAAACTAGCATATTGCTAACATGTTTCTAGCATGATTAGCATGTTCTTAGCATGTTTCTAGCATGATTAGCATGTTACTAACATGGTGTTAACACGATTAGCAAGTTACTAGCATGATTAGCATGTTGTTAACATGATTAACAAGATACTAACATGATTAACAAGTTACTAACATTTTGTTAGCATGTTTCTAACATGATTAACATGTTACTAGCAGTGTTGGGGAGTAACTAGTTACATGTAACGGCGTTACGTAATTTAATTACAAAATAAATGTAACTGTAATCAGTTACAGTTACTAAGAAAAAATGTGTAATTAAATTACAGTTACTTATGAAAATGTTAACGATTACAAAGGGGGTTACATTTGAATATTTACACACATCCACATACAGACTTAATTGATTTCTTTCCCAAATTGCGCTGACTACTCTGAGACATACGGCCCTATAATTTCCGCGATGCGGAAAATACGGACTGATTTGTAGAATCCAGTCATAAAAACGGAATTCCTATAGCCTAACGCGGACGGAATATGCCACATTTTGGACGAATAAATCAAAAGTAGGTTTATTATTGTATAGTTGCCTGCCGAATGTACTAAAGCGACTATTTCCGAATTTGCTATTCGATAATTAAATCTCTAAAAAATCATGAATCGGTTAGTCGTGACTGGCAATGCTTCGGCTCGCGCGCTCTCCGCACCTCCGGCAAACGGTTTGGATCAGAGTAATCAATGCGAGAGAGAGAATGGACTGGACTGTGGAAGCGCACAGGTGGAACAGAGAAGCAAAACTACTGTTCAGGGTTTCAAGTGCAGGTCACCCAGCAAGCAATTTTGCGTTTAAAAGACGTCTATTAGCCGTCTAAACACAGCCCAGACGTCTAGGCTAAAACAAGGCTAAATTTGGGCTGTCAGTGAAAATTTATTACATTTTAAATAGGGTAACTTGTAATCTGTAACTTATTACATTTCCAAAGTAACCTTCCCAACACTGGTTACTAGCATGTGTTAGCATGATTAGCAAGTTAATAGCATGTTGTTAACATGTTTCTTGCATGATTAACATGTTACTATTATGTTCTTAGCATGTTTCTAGCATGATTAGCATGTTATTAGCATGTTGTTACCATGAACAGTAAGTTACTAGCATGTTGTTAACATGTTTCTAGCATGAATATCATGTTACTAGCATGTTGTTAGCATGATTAACAAGTTACTAGCATGATCCTAGCATGATTAGCATGTTGCTAGCATGATTAGCAAGATATTAGCATGATTTTAGCATCATTACCACGTTATTAGCATGTTGTTAGCATGAACAGTAAGTTACTAGTATGTTGTTAACGAGAACAAGCGTACGACAGTTAGCGGAAGCTAGAGATTAAGGTTTATAAAGTTGTAAATATGGATATTATTCTTACACAAACGCATTGCGTCACTTCAGAAGGCCTTTATTAACCCCCCAGAGCCGTGTGGACTTCTTTTATAATGGATTGGTTCAATTTTTATTTAAATTATAATGGACTTCAAATTTTGGGCTACCATCCACTCCCATTATAAAACTTGGAAGAGCAACAGTGTTTTTTAATATAACTCAGATTGTATTTGCCTGAAAGAAGAATGTCATATACACCTAGGATGGCTTGAAGGTGAGTAAATCATGGGGTAATTTTTTTTGGGTGAACTATCCCTTTAAGAGATACGGTACAGTCATACCACATATTACACGGCATTTCACCACATAAATAATTATTGCGATTTAAGATGAAACTTTTAAAATCGTAACAGTTTGTTAGTTATCTTATAATCCATTACAGTGTACAAAAAAATCGTCGCAAAAATGGCAGCAGCTGCGTTTGTATGAAACGAGAGACAGCGAGTATACCAGGATGACGTAAATTAATAATTGTACACATAATATTGATTTGAGTTTTCATATTTTAAGCTTGCACAAAGAAAAACTGTTCCTAGCAAGTGTATAGCGCCGACTTTAGTTACCGCACGTCTCAGAGCGCTGACTGTTTCTATAGCAACTGGGACTTCTAACAGCAGCTGCAGTGACATGCTGACTTTACCGATTAGCGATGGGCTCTTTCATTCAGAAGGCAGGGCTTCCTGCGATTGAGCGGCCATATTAAGCGTTGCATTTTTCCCCATTCAACACTATATGAGTGACACGCCTTGGGTATTCTATAGTCTATGTTATTACTCATTGGTTACTTGAAAAGTCAAATGAGTGTGAGAGCGAGTAATAGTAACCCTAATTGTGTTAGCATTACATTAATAACATGCTAATTGTGTTAGCATTATGCTAAAAACATGCAAACACAATTAACGTGTTATTACCATGAAATTAGCATGATTAGCATGTTGCTAGCATGTTTTTAACAAGATGTTAACATGATTAGTATGATGCTAGCAATATGCTAACATGATTAGCACATTGTTAGCATGATGCAAGCATGTTTTTAACAAGATGTTAACATGATTAGCATGTTGTTAGGGCTGGGCGATTTGGCAAAAAAATTTAATCTGGATTTTTTTCAGAACGTTTGACCGATTCTCGATTTTTTACGATTTTTAACTAGTCAATTTAAAAATTTTACTACAACATGATTCAAATAGCTCTTTCTTTATTAACCCTCTAGTTAAAGAAAATTATATTCTAAGTACAGCATACATGAAGTTGAAAATCATGATGTAAATGTTAAACAAATCACTTGTTAAATATCTTTGCAGAAAAGATGCATGAACTACAACTGCATCCTGTACAAACTTGTCTTATAGCCTACATGTTATATGTTCAGAAATAATAGGCTACAATGAAAATGCTTCAAAAAATTCTCAACAGTCAGTGTAATTCAAATTCAAAATGTCTGCCTTTATACATAGAATCTGAAAATTGTACATGTATTTTTGTACAATATATTTACAAGTACGTACTTGTAAATATATCTGTACATTCATTTAAACAGTTACATTTCTCTATATTTCTACTTCTGTATATAGTGCATTATTTAATTTCCTGTTTTTCTTATATTAGTGTTATACTCCATCTCTACTGTGTAATTCCTATGTCTGCTGCACTAGTTTGCACTATGTCATACTTCTGCACTGGAAGCTCCAGTCACTAAGTCAAATTCCTTGTCTGTGTAAACATACTTGGTAATAAAGTTCTTTCTGACTTCTGAAGGTATAAACCAGTAGACTATTAACAATAAATGTTCTGTGAAAACAATGAACAGCAGCTTTCAGCCTGTCACCATGATGCAAACATGAAATATTAGACATACAGTAGTAGTTCTTTACAGCTTTTTTTATTAGATTGCGCCGCTTTTCTATTGTTTTTTCTATGTAAACATGGACGCGTTTGACTGCTGCACTAGGATCTCTTGCAGCATCTCACGCATGAAATGGCATTATAAAAATGCAGCGCTCAAATTAAAAGAAGTTCACTTACATCTTCTTGCATGTTTTTTCTATTCCACTGTCCACGTCGCATCTTTGTCAACACAAAAGCGCATTCTGTGTGAATGGCCCCAGCTAACAATTTTTGGTTCGCTTATTTCAGACAAATTCTGCAAAAATAGTTTGTTTATGATTAAAAAAATACACATTTCAGCATTAGAATAATCAGAAACATCTGCAAAGTTTTAATTAGTTTACATGGTTATGACAACTAAAGATAACATGCAGGTTATAAATTTTATAACCTAAAGGGAACGTTCCCAGAACATTCTTATTTGGTTCCCAAAAAAATAACCAAATGGGAACCTAATGGGAATGTTAGGGGAACGTTCTGTGTTTGTTGGGGTGCCTCGTGATGTGAGCGCGTCACACGTGAGCGGTTAATCACGTGCGCCGACATGTGGTTTGATCGTTCTTGAATATTTCTATTAAAAATTGCGATTCCTCGATTTCTAAAAAATAAAATTGCGGCAAAACATTAAATTCGAATTAATCGATAAAATCGGAAAAATTGCCCAGCCCTACATGTGGTTAACATGAAGTTAGCATAATTAGCATGTTGCTAGCATGATGCTAACAAGTTTTTAACAAGACACTAACATGGATAACACTAATAACATGTCATTAGCATTTTTTTAGTAAGATGCTAATGTTTTCCACTATGCTAATACAGTTAACCTGTCATTAGCATGATGTTAGCATGCTATTAACACGTCTTAACATTTAGGTAGGCGATTCTAACATGTGTTAGCATGTTTTAGCACGTTCGTAGCATTATTTAGCACTTAGCTAAGCAATGCTAGCATGATATGGCATATTGTTAGCATGATGGTAGCACATTTTGACAGTTTAATCATGTTTTAAAAACTGTATAATTTTTTGCATGTTTTAGCACTTAGTTAATCACTATTAGCATGTAGCTATTTACTGCTAACATGTGTAGCATGTTGGGAGTCCTATTTGCTAGCATGAGTCAAAAGAACCAACTCCCATGACTCTACGATATTCTGATGCAAAGATATAGGACTTGCTAGATGGTTGCTAGGGAGTTTTGGTTGCTATCGTACACCCGATTGCTTATAAAAGTCATAGCACACCTCTCCTCAATAAGCTGCACGATGTGACGCCTCTTTCGTGGGTCTGTGGCAAACGGTGCGGGACGAGTTATGCGCCAAAGTTTTTACGGAATCTATAATAATAATAATAATAATAATAATATGTATGTGAGATAATAATAGTGATGCTTCGCCTTTGGCAAGCACCACTAATAAGCTTAGATAGTAGATCAGTAAGTTGGCTTTCTCAAGCCAACTTAAAGGGTTAGTTCACCCAAAAATGAAAATTAGCCCACAAATTACTCACCCTCAAGTCATCCTAGGTGTATATAACTTTCTTTGATCTTTCAAGCTGTTTAATGCCACTCAGCGGGTGTTGTATGCGTCGGTCCAAAAGAAGTTAAATAAAAAGCGCCCATCCATAAAAAAAAAAAAGTGTCTCACACGGCTCCGGGGGGTTGAACAAAGGCCTCGTGTAGCGAATTGATGCGTTTTTGTGAGAAAAATATCCATATTCAAAACGTTATAATCACTTTAATGTAGCTTGTGCCAACAGTCCTACACGGAAGCAGCTCCGGGAGGATGACGTATGAGTTCAGTGTTGTGCATGCGCCACTCAGAAGTGACGAACGTGGAAGGGCAGGGGAGAGATCAAAACAAAACACCGGTCACTTATTAGAAGTACAAAACAAGGATTTGTAAAGAAGAATGTCGGAGGATTTCGATATAAGCCAAGAGGAGACTGGTTTTCCTTTGCTAAAGTAAGGAAACTTAGCTTCCTTTGCTCTTGTTAACAAACGTTGGTTTTCACGAGACTCACCGGCGCATGTGCAACGCTGAACTCATACGTCATCCGCCCGGAGCTGCTTCCATACAAATCCTGCAGAATGTAAATTCCCCTAGATGCCCAACTTTCATTGAAATATGGGCCAGAGTTCTGCAAAAGATTGTAATTATGCCATATGGGGGAGCGATCACAGAGTTTAGTATTGCAACCCATTTGATTTTGAACATTTGACCAAACCTGCAAAGAGTTACTTATAATTGGCCCAAACCTCTTATGTGCAGTTTTAGGTTTAAGTCCAGCAAATAACAGATCTTCAATTCTGTGAGGTTTTACAATTTCTTGTTCTATCTGGCGCCAGAGAAGAACAGAGTCTTTATCACACAAATTTGTGAATGCCTTTACCTGGAAGGACCAATAATACAATTTAAAGTCAGGTAGTGCCAAACCACCAGATAATTTCATCCGCTGAAGAGTATTCAGACGAATATGTGTTTTTACATCTCTTTAATCACCAGAAAACAAATAATCAGTAATTTTTTGTTGTTGTTTTTTTTCCCCCATTACAGCTTAAGAAATCTCTTAGGCCTTATCCTTTTCTGTCAGTTTTAGGGACAAAAAAAGGTAACACTTTTCTTCGATAGTCCACCTTAGACATTCTATTAACAGTAAGTAACTTTGCAACTACATGTCAACTAGCAGTTAGTAGAGTATTAGTAGACTCCACTTAATTTGTAGGGTACTGACAACATAATTTGGTAACACTTTATAATAACTGCACGCTATGAATCATTAGGTAAGCATTAGTAAATAGTCAGTTAATCCTTTCTAAAGCATTGTCCCAACATTAATAGTCATTAGTAAGCAGTTTATAAATACAGCTATAAATGCCTTGTTCTTGGTTTATAAGCATATCTATTACAAAGGAGCTTTAAAGGCTCAGTTATCTTCCTAACAGAAAAAATAAACAAACACAACATAGAGGGATACATAACTCAGAAATATTTATTTAAAGAAAAAAAAAAAATGGAACTTTACACTTGATTTTTTTTCTATGAAATTGCAGAGGTTTCTTTTTCTTTCTTTTTCATCAAGTGAACAGTTGTACAGTTTCATTTTTTCAATCTTGAAAAAATATTTTTGTGTTCTGTATCCCTCTGTATTGTGTTTGTTTAACTTTTCTGTTTGGAAGATTAATGAGCTTTTAAATCTCCTTTGTAAATGCTTTACAAGGTATAAATAGTCTAAATGCATGTGCCCGCTGTGCACCGTTCTCCTGATGCCTCCGGGATGGCGTTTGCACTGACGGCTTGGGGCCGCCATCGCTGCTTGCAGCTATATTTATTAGGGCCCAAGCCAGTAAGGAGCAGGCCCTATTGTTTTTCGAAGGATTATTATTATTATTATTATTATTATTTTTCTTTCAAGTTTTTTGGGTATTTTGGGGCCCTTAACATACTCGAAAACTCTTGAAACATTGCACACATGTTGAAATCTGCGGCCATCAGGGCTGGACTGAGTTTCACATGGGGGGGTCACCGGGGGGGCGTGGCACAGCCTTTAAAAAGGCGACATTTCAGGAGCTCTGTAGCACGCACCGTTTGATCTACACTCACCAAAATTCATACACATATAGGTCTCATCAGGCTGAACAACTTTCATGCTGACCGTCAGTGCTCTGCCCAACAGGAAGTTGGCTATTTAAGGTTTTGTGAAAAGTGCATGCTGTGGAATTTGATATACTCCTATGAGGGTTTCCAACCGATTGTCACCAAACTCGGTGAACATGATCTCAAGACATGGAGGATGCTAAATTGCGAAGAGATTTTTGATATCTCGAACGGTTTGCTCGTGGCAAGGCGATGAATTTATGGCGAGAAATGAGAAACAGGAAGTGTCTAATAACATACACATGCATTGTCTGATTTTGATCAAACTTCAGGGTTTTTTTCGGTGTATGATGCCGATCGCATAAATGTGACTATTAGGAGTCAAAGTCATAGCGCCACCAACTGACGGCAGGAAGTGTGTCATTTTCAAATTTGATTTGAATGTGGATTTTTGGAAAAATATGTCTGTGAATTAATGTATACTCCTCAGAGGAGAAATATACTATACATACCAAACTTTTCAACATGATGCCAATATACTGAAGATGCTAAATTGCGAACGGATTTAGAATATGTTTAACTGTGTTGCCATGGCAATTTATTCAATTAACAGTAAAAAAGATAACAGTCATTTTCTCATATCTTTAAAGTTCGTCATCCTAACTCTTCAAAACTTTTTACATATGGAGAACAAGTTATTCTTAGGAAACATGCTAAGTGTCATAATTTAATCATGCTCAGGGGTCACTAAAGAACTTAAACTATCACACATTACAGGTCATAGGTGAAGACTGAAATACCAAGGATGACCACCTGATGGAGTCACAGGATTAAAAATCTTTTAACCCTCTCTGTGTATCAGAATGAAAAATAATGCATGGATCTTTAAAAGAAAAAATAATTAAGATTTATATTTATATTATATTTATTATTATATATATATATATATATATATTCTATACCCTCTCTCACTGATAGGATAAGAAATATTTTAAGTCTAACACTT